ATCAAGACAGTGAAATCTTGGCCAGAAGATGCTTTCCAACAACTTCAGGATTGTTTTGAGAACACAAATTGGGACATCTTTTACCACCCTGACCTAGAGGTGCACACTGCAACTATTCTGTGCTATATCAAGCACTGCACAGATACTATCACTGTGGATAAATGTATTAGGATCTATCCCAATCAGAAGCCCTGGATGACCAAGGAAGTCCAGCACTTCTTGTGTGACAGGACCAAGGCCTTTAGGTGATGAGGCAAGATACAGTGTTGCCAGAGCTAGTCTGAAGAAAGGTATTCAGAAGGCCAGGAATGATTATAAGAGGAATTGAGAATAATTTTTATAGAAATAACATGAGGCAGGTGTGGCGAGGGATTCAACAAATTACTAACCATCAACCAACCAATGTCATCCCTGCTGAGGGGGATGCTTCATTGGCAGAGGAATTAAATCATTTCTTGGCTTGCTTTGAAGTGGAGACATCAGAGACTGCTAAAATACAACCACCAGCCAATTGTAGCCCCCACCTCATTGTGGAGGAACAGGAGGTGAGGATCATTCTGAAGGCTATGGACCCTAGAAAGGCTGACAGTATCTCTGGCCGAGTGCTTAAAGACTGCTTGGCTGGAGTCTTTACCAGGAACTTCAATTGATCTGTGGCTCCCAAGGATTTAAGAAATGGCAGCACCACAAAACTCAATTGCAGGAAATACTTCAGCAACAGTGGACAATGCCTGAAATACTCTAACTGACTCTGTGGTTTCACATACAGGGCGTCGCTGGCGTCGCGATGATATGGCATGCGATCTTGGAGATCTGAGATCGCTGCCGATATCTTTGCTCCTGGACGGTCCAAACGGATCTAAGCCATCCCAAAGAGACGGTGAATGTAAAGAGTGCATCCTGTCAATCCCAGGGATATCGCAAAGTCCCTGGTAGATCCAGGAGAAGCTCTTTTTGCCAACGGCAAAGAGGCAGCCATTAAAGCTGCTGAAGTTGGGACAGCTCTGAAACGGAAGAGAATAGAAAGAGAAAGTGTGCCGGTTTGGTGAGAATTTTTTCTTCACTTTAAGATTTAAAAGGACACCCTAAGGAAAAGAAAGAATCTGTAAAATTTCAGACAGAAGTGATTAAGCAGCGATTTTAAACAGGAAGTCAAATTAATTTTTTCTTTTTTTTGCTGGACTCTTCATATATGATTTTTTACTTTGAACTGGACTGGTCTTTTTTTTCTACCTTATTTTTTCTTTTGTCTCTTCTTTTTGTCTTTATAATATTTTAGGCTAGAGATTCCCTTTTAGCTTTTTTTTTTTCTAAACCCTTTTTCCTTTTTAATTAATTTTTATAATAATTTGTTTGGAAAAGGAGGGGGAAAGTGAAAACAGAGGAAACTTTGGAACACTGCCAACTAGAGGCTTAGAAATATTGTTTCTCTTTTTTTCTTTCTCGACCAGACAAAGCTGAGAAAGAATTCAGACTTCTTTTCAAGGACTTTGAGCCTGTTTGATAAGATAAAGGGAAGAGCATGGCAGAGTATTATTGCAGGTGCTCTTCTGGGTTTCTATCAGTAGCTGGAGTCTGATGTTGAAGTATACAGAAAAAAGACGATAAGACTCTAGAGAAGAGAGCTATAAAACTTAACAAAAGCCTTGGATAACTAAATAGGTGCAGTGTGTTCTTTTTCTCTTTTTTTAAGTTGGGCTCACACCCCCTTCTTACAGGTTATTATTTGTAATAGTTATTTGGATCTCTGGACTTTTGGAACCTGCTTTTGTCTTTTTTTTCCTTTTGGAGCCTTATTTTTATTTTTGCATTTTATTTTAAAGGAAAAGTCTTAGTATTAATGTTTTCCTTTTTTTTTAAGGGAGTAGGCTTTTTCTTTTTTTTCTCTCTCCCTCTCCTGCATTTTTTATTTACCTTCCATATTGGGTTTTTTTTTTTTTTGTGGCTTCCTTTTTTTTGTATACTTTTTCATACCTGACACTTTTTAATTGGATTAAGGTGTTGAACAACCTGAAGAAATTCCTTTTTCTCTTTAGTTTTTTACTTTTTATTTTTCTGCCTTCTACAAGATTTAACAATTTTTTCCTTTCTGTGTTTATGGTTTTTTTCCTTCCTTTTTTGAGCTTTTACTGCTATTTAACTAATTAATTGGATTAAGGTATACAAGAACCTGAAGCAATCTTTTTTTTTCTATCTTGCTTCTTTTCTTCCACTATTTTTACTTGGATTTACAATTGGTTATTTCACGAGTGGATTAAGGTCTAGAAGAACCTGAAGATTTTGAATTGTCCGAAAATAGCAGGAAACTAACAGCGGCTGGTTCCTCAATTCCTACTTCTTCCTCTTCACCATCTGGAGGACAACGTTCAATACAGATGATGTTACAACAAGAAAAAGAACAGGAAAAGGTGACATTGCAGATGATAATGCAAGGAATTCAGAGCATACAAGCAAGAACAGAGAATATTTAAAGGAGAACAGAAAAAAATGATGAAAAGGTGGAGAATATTCAACAAATGATGATGAAGTATGATGAGAAATTCAAAAAAATTGAAGAAGATAAACAAGGAGATAAGAAGATTGGAGATATTGATGGCAGATTAACAGTGGTTGAACAAGATAAAAGTGGGATGCTATTACATGTTATTACAGCTGAAACAGATGCGTTTTGGTAAAAAATTCATTCAAGCAATAGAAGCTATATATCATAAGCAAACAGCAAAGGTAATGATAGAGGGAGAATTAACGGACTCTATTGATATAAGAAAAGGAACAAGACAAGGGTGTCCACTGTCACCTTTGTTGTTTGTGTTAACCTTGGAAGTGCTAAACAGAAATATTAGAGAAGAAAAGGACATAAAAGGGATGAAAATTAAAAAAGAACAATTTAAATTGCAAGAATTTGCAGATGATCTGGTTTTCATCTTAGAAGATCCACTAGAAACAGCATTAAAATTGATAGAAAAGATAGAGGTATATGGGAAGGTGGCTGGTTTGAAAATAAATAAAGACAAAACAAAGATTTTGGCAAAGAATATGTTATCAAGACAAAAGGAAGAACTGGCGGATGTATTAAAAACCCAGGTCACGAATAAGATCAAGTACTTGGGGATACTTTTGACAGCAAGATGTAGTACACTAAAGGAGAACAACTATATTAAACTTAAGCAGCAGATAGCGCTAGATTTGGCAAAATGGGAAAATTTACAACTGTCATTAATAGGGAGAATATCAACAATCAAGATGAATATATTACCCAGAATTTTATATTTGTTCCAAACAATTCCAATTAGGCTTGAAAAAGATTATTTTGAAGATTTAAATAAAATTGTGTGGAAATATATATGGCAAGGTAAGAAAGCAAGAATAAAATTAAAACTTTTGCAAGATGCTAGAATAAGAGGAGGATTTGGTTTGCCTAATTGGGAGTTGTACTACCAAGCTACAAATTTGATGTGGGTTAAGGAATAGATAACATTAAGAAATTCTAGATTGTTGACACTAGAAGGACATGATCTGTTGTTGGGGTGGCATGCTTTTTTATGGTATAAAGGAACTAAACACAGGGGTATTTTAGAAGACATTATATATGGGAGTCTCTGTGGTTAAACTGGGAGAAGACTAAAGGGCAATGTTATTTGAAAATTCCAGTCTGGCTATCAACTATTGAAGCTTTTTCCTATCCTATAATATACAAAAAGGAACAAACAGTTAGATATGGTAAAATATTGAATGAAAAGGGTGAACTTAAATCTATGCAAAAATTAGAGGAACAAGGTATAAAGATGAATTGGTTTTCATATGCACAAATACATTCAAAGTATGATAAAGATTCTAAAACAGAAGGTTTCTATGATAAATTGACTGATTTAAATAAGATTTTGACAGGTACTGATGAAAAGGTGATTAAAAAATTGTATGGATATCTATTAGAAATTAAACTAGAAGAAGAACAAGTTAAAGAAACAATGATTGTTTGGGGGAAGAATTTTGGATATGGGATTGATCTAGAGAAATGGCAAAAATTGTGGTCTCAAAATTATAAAATGACATTGTCAACAGCATATAAAGAAAATTTGTGTAAGATGTTTTACAGGTGGCATTTTCCCCCAACAAGAATAGCAAGAATGTTCAAGAACAAATCTGAAAAATGTTGGAAATGTCATCAGGTACCTGGCTCATATTACTATATGTGGTGGACTTGTGCAGATGCCAAAAAATACTGGATTAAAATTCACACATGGTTGGAAAAAATGACAAAAAAGCATATAGACTTGAAACCAGAGATATTTTTATTGGGAATTTTACCTGAAATATATAGTAAAGAATTGAAATACCTGATTGTAAATGTATTAACAGTGGCTAGGATTGTATTTGCCAAAACCTGGAAAAATGAGAAAATACCATCACAGGAGGAAATTATTAAGAAAATATTGGAATGTGCTGAAATGAGTAGATTGACATTTGAAATCAGAGAACAAGATGATAAACAATTCTATAAAACTTGGGATCTATTCTATCAATGGTTAGACAATAAAACAATTTTTGGGAAACATTTCTACCATATAGAGATTACCACTACTTCCTTCTTAGCCCCCATTTGCTAGAGCCTGCTGCATATTTTTCTCTCTGTGACCTAATGGAGACTCTAATAAATCCTTGGGAGCCACAGGAAATCAGTCATAAATTTTTAGAGAAGTTTTGATTTCCATAAATTTTTAGAGAAGTTTTGATTTCCAGTGAGAGTCATCCTTAAGAAAGATGATTATGTAATTCTTTAAAACCTTCAGGAAGTTTTAGGGCTCAGCACATAGCTAATCGTAGTAAGCTAAGCAGCATCACTTTTCACTATTTCACTTTGCTCAGTTGCAACGATCGGTTGGTAGAAGTAAAAAATGACTTGATAGCATTAAATCATTGAAAACATCTTGCAAGCGCCTTACGTAGTAGAGACGGGACAAGCGTGTTTTTCTGACTCCTATCTGGAGATGGCGATGGCGATCAGGTAGCCTGAGAAGTGCACAATACATAAAAAAGGAGTTAAAACCATCGAGTTCTGAATTGCTAGAAAGGATGAGAGAAGAGAAGGACAGAGAAACTTCCTCTTCTGAATAGCTCATGGGAGGAAGGTGGTGTGCAGAGCGGCTTCTGTGCTCTTCCCAGGATGGAAGTAGCCGCTGGCAGGTGAGTTGGAGGCAGCAGGTGGGAGGAAAGTCCGGGACCAAGTCGGGCTGTTCGGTTCCCTCCACGGCCTGAAAGCAGAGAAGCAACTGGGCTGAAGCGTGTCAGCTGCTGCTGCTCCTGCAGGTTCCTTCGCTCCCCAGATCGGAGCCCGCTGGGGCTGCACGCTGTGAAACTGGTGGCTGCAATTCTCTGCTGGGGGAAGATCTAAGAAGCCTCTCTCAAGTGAAGGTGGATCCTTTGGGAATGGCTCCCCTCCAGAGGTTGTGGGGGCTCCGTCACTGGAGGCTTGTGACAGGGTTGGCTGGAAGGGATCTTGCATGGCTTCTGTTCCTATGCCCTGCTCAAGCAGGAGTGTCAGATCCCTGTATCTGTCATTTCTTCAGTGGAAGAAGAAAAAAAAGGGGGGGACGACTGATAAAGAAATCCTTTCTTGATGTAACCTGAATATATTTAACCTTATATCGAATTTGTATAACCCACACATGATACAGTGGAGGGAGAAAAGCCAGATGGCCAGAACCTATCACCTCCTAGAGGCACAGCCAGGAGATGAGAAGATCATAAAAATTCCACAGTGAGATGTATCCGGGGAATCTCTTGAAAAAGTTCGTTCTAAAAAGGGGGGGGGGATTGGGTATGTCCTGGGAAACTGAGAAAGATCGTTCCTACAGAAGGGGTGGGGGGGAGTTAACACTGGCTTTTGTTTCTCTAAATACACATTGAGATAAGGGGAGGGGTTCTAAACTCCCTTATGTATCCCTGTGTGCCTGAGGGACCTCAGACGTTGCTTTGAACTCCGACATGAATTGTCTCATCTCAATAAAGGATACCTTTTGATACGTTTGGTTCTCAGAAGTTCATTCTTGCTAATTGAATGGGAAAAAGTTCTGTAGCCTGACAAGGAGACTCAGTATCATTTCAGACAAATGGCTGTCCAGTCTCTGTTTAAAAGACACCAGTGATGGAGCACCCACAACTTCTGAAGGCAAATCATTCTACCAATAGTTCTCGGTGTCAGGAAATTTCTCCTTAGTTCTAGGCTGCTTCTCTCATTGATTAGTTTCCATCCAGTTTTTTGTCCTACCTTCAGGTGCTTTGGAAAATTGATTGACCCCTTCTCCTTTGTGGCAACTCCTCAAGTATGGGCAGATGACTATCATGTCATTCCTAGTCTTTCCTTTCACGAGACTATTCACTCCCAATTCCTGCAACCCTTCCCTATATGTTTTAGCCTACTAATCATCCTTACTGCTCCTCTCTGCACTCTTTATAGAGTCTGAACACCTGTTTTCTTATGTTGTGGCAAGCAATACTGGTTGCAGTATTCCAAGTGCGATCTTACCAAAGCCTTATAAATTGGTACTAATACTTCATGTGATCTTGATTCTAGTCCTCTGTTTAGGCAGCCTAGGATTGCATTATTTTTTTTTTGGCCATTGCATCACACTGTTAAGTGATATTAAGGTGATTGCCCACTGGGACTTCAAGATCTATCTTGCAGTTAGTGCTATTGAGCCAAGTTGTACTTATTCTCTCCCTTGACATTTGGTTTTTCTTCGCTAAGTGTAAAACATAATTTTTTTCTCCATTGAATTTCATTTTGTTGGATAGGACCCAGTGTTCAAATCTATCAAGATTCTTCTGTATCTTGAGGTTGTCTTGTAGTGTTTTGGCTATTCCTGCCAGCTTAGTGTCATCTCCAGATTTGATGAGTTCCCCTTCTATTCACTCATTGAAATTGTTTATGAAGATACTGAAGAATACTAGGCCTAAGATAGAGTTTTGGGGTACCCCACTGCTTACTTCCCTCCATATAGATGTAGTTCCATTGACTAACCATTGAGTGCACTTTGTCAGCCAGTTACAAATCCATCCGATGGTGATGCTATCTATTACACATGTTCTTCATTTACTAAGAAGTAGATCGTGTTCTACTTTATCAAATGTCATACTGAAATTTCAGTATACTGTGTCCACGGCATTTTGGTGCTCTACTGATTTAGTCACTTTCTCAAAGAATTAAATAAGATGTCAGCTTTAAAATTCAGCTGTCACATTTCATGGAAGGGGGGGTGGAGGAGTTGAAAAGTTCAAGGTTATTCTGTACGTCGTATTAAGAAATTCCAGGTGCAGTTAATTGGTTCTCATGATTAAGAAGTGTAGAAGTGGGAGGAGAGAAAGTGGATTCTGTGTAACAAGAATTTGGGAAATTACCTTTGACATACCAGATCTGTTTCTAAATAAATCAATTGGAGAGAAAATGTCTCGGAGTGATTGATATCATGGATACTTTCTAGATGCCTTACAGAAGATTTGTTTGGCATGATCTTTTTTCAACAAACCTATGTTGGCTTTTGGTTATAAGTTTGTTTGCTTCTAAGTGTTTGTAGATCTGTTGCTTGGTTATCTTTTTCAGGATCTTCTCAGGCATTGATATCAGGCTGATTGGTATGTAGTTTTGTGAAAAATTTTCTCTTTTTTGAAGATGGGAACTGCATCAGTGTTCTGAACCAAGTCATGTTGGCAAGGCAAGGTTTAACTAGTGTCTGCTTATTGTTCACTGATCACAATGTCAAATGAAGCACCAATGGTGCCAGTGAAGCTCCGCCCCAGCCCTCAGCCCTCAGCCCCCAGTCTGGATTCCCCTGCTCTAAAATGTAGGCTCTAGCTGACCATGAGGCAAAGAGGGAAGTAATGATAGCCATAAGTTCAAAGTTCTAACAACAAAAGCACGATCTGAGAGTCAAGTCCAAAGTCCACAAGAAAAGTCTGAGATTCAGAGTCCAAAAATACAGTCCAAAGTTCAAGAGACAGGATCCAGCAGGGCTGGGAAAGTGCACGTCAAAACAAGCAGGTGTTCCCAACAAACATACTTTTACCCAGCATCTGGTTAAATCACCCTTCCACAGCTGTTCCCTGTGAAGAGGGGTGCAGCTGCTTCCTCTCAAGCAGCCTTGCTGACTTCCTCTGAAGGTGCAGGAAAAACAAATGGACCAATTTTGGTTCTGCCAACCAGTGCACATATACGATTGCTGCTGTACATTCATGATCCCCATTTATGACCTTCCCAAATAGCTTCTGACAAGCAAATCAGTGGAGATACCAGCAGGAATTTGCAAGTCACAGTCATGTGAAATTGCCTTTAACAACCCACAGTGATTTGCTTAACAACTGCAGAGGGACAGGTGTAAGTTGACAGTCTTGTGTGACAACATGCTCATGATCGGACTGCTTAGTGTCCAGATACCAGTCCCAATTGCGATCAATAAGTGAGGACTACTTGAATTGGGATTTCACCAGAGTGGCTCCAGATAGTATTTTCTACCCATATTTGAATCTGATGACTTCCATGAGCAAAACAGGTGCTTCAAATTTTGCAGAAGCTTTAGGCATCATGTCATCAAGTATAGCCCCACATTTCTAAAATTATCTCAATGTCAGGGTTCCAAGTAACAGTCCCAACGAACTCAAAACTCTGAGGCATGAAGTTTCTTCAAAGTAAGAATTTACTAGGAATGCCCTATTGGTACAGCTAGTGAAAACCCAACTCTGAAGGACCTGAACTCATAAAATATCTCTATGATCTTTTTAGAGTTGCCAACAGAAAGGGAGGGAGGAGCAGTGCAGCCACTTGCAAACCAAAACTGCATTCCATAAATGTTTTCAAAGATAGCAACTAGGTGACCGAAGTTTCTGCCGTGCAAAATTCTAACTGGAGAGCATGATTGATGACTCTGGGCTATGGATGTGTCCCATTGGAGAATATGAATTAAGATACACCCAGGGGGTAGGGGAAAATCAGAGTCAAGGGTGACAATGAATTATGTGTCTCAGTGTTGGTTACACCCAGGCAGTGCTAGACAGTTTAACTCCCAATAAATCCTTTTTAAGTTTTGGAAGTTTGGCTCGAGACTCATGATTTAAATGGGGGTAACTGCCAGAATCCTGACACTGAGGTTTTCCCCACCCACATCAAAACCCAAAGTTTTTGCCCCGAGTTCACACATTCATCACATGGTCCAACCAGGTCACAGTCCTCTTTCAGCTACCTTTGTAGGTGTCTGTATCTGTATTTCTCTTTGTGTGCAATTAGAATAATCTATACCCAGCATTTCCAGATAGATTTGATGATAAGCCTTTGCACTGTAAGAATTTTTGATTGACCCAAATCAACAAGAGAATTTCATGATTGAATGGATATTTGAACTTGGACCTTGGCAGTCTTTCATGTGTCAAATACAACAATTTCATAAACAATTAACATTACACTTTTCTTTGAATCCTGTAGGCAAAGAAGATGACAATAAGAGCACACTGGATAACTGACAATAACAATCAACTTTGAAAAGGAAAGAAAATCAAGCCAGAAATCAAAATATTTTTCATGTTTCATACAATTCTCCTTCTCCAGCAGCAGATAGACAAAAGAGAGAAAATTAAGAAATATTTCAAACTGGAATATATAGATTATACAGAACTCAAGCATACATTACATGAAAAGTCAAGGGAGCTTATTTTTTATTTGGAAAAAAAGGTAAATATCTTTAGGTCATTAGGGAGGAAAAAATCACTTGGAGAGCCACGTAGGCAGACAGAGACACAGGCCTTGCTCATGGAGAAAAAACCCAGCTTTAATCAAAACATTACTAAACAATGGATAACACATATTTTTGACTTCAAGAATATAAGTGTTGGAAAAGCTCCATAGATGCGCCTATTGTAGGAAAAACATAGATTAAAAATTATAGCTGATTATGCACAGGAAGATCCACTCAGGAGAAAAGTTTTAAAAGTGCTCCAATGTGGAAAATACTTTAGTGAGCATAGCAACTTGGTGATGCATCAGAGGACTCACATCATGTATGAGTATCCAGATTGTGTGAAAGTTTCGTTGGAAATTCCCACCTCAAAAGACAACAGAGGACTCGCATAAGAGAGAAACCCTTTGAATGCCCTATCTGTGTGAAAAGTTTCAGTCACAATTACAGCCCAATGAATCACCACAGGACACACACAGGAGAGAAACCCTTTGAATGCCCTGATTCTGAAAAATGTTTCAGTCAAAATTCCAAAGTGGTGATACACCAGAGGACTTACACAGGAGAGAAGCCCTATCAATGTCCTGATTGTGGGAAAAGTTTCAGTCACAATTCCAGCCTGGTGACACACCAGAGGATTCACACAGGAGAGAAACCCTTTGAATGTCCTAATTGTGGGAAAAGTTTCAGTACAAATTCCAACATGGTGAAACACCAGAGCACTCACAAAGGAGAGAAACCATTTGAATGTCTGGATTGTGGGAAAAGTTTCAGTAACAATTCCCACCTCATTAGACACCAGAGGAATCACACAGGAGAGAAACCCTTTGAGTGTCCTGACTGTGGAAAAGGTTTCAGTCAAAATTCCAACCTGGTGATACACCAGAGGACTCACACAGGAGAGAAACACTTTGAATGTCCTGATTGTAGGAAAAGTTTCATTAGAAATTCTCACCTCATTAGCCACCAGAGAATTCACACAGAAGGGATACCCTTTGAATGTCCTGATTGTGGAAAATGTTTCAGTGAGAATTTCAGCCTGGTGAAACATCAGAGGACTCACGCAGTAAAAAAACCGTTTGAATGTTCTGATTGTAAAAAAAGTTTCAATCATACTTCCCAGCTCGTGTTACATCAGAGGAGTCACACAGGAGAGAAACCCTTTGTATGTCCTGATTGTGGGAAAAGTTTCAATCACAATTCCAGCCTGGTGACACACCAGAGGACTCACACAGGAGAGAAACCCTTTGAATGTCCTGATTGTGGGAAAAGGTTCAGTCGGAATTCAGACCTGGTGAAACACCAGAGGACTCACACAAGAGAGAAATGTCCTGACTGTGGAAAAAGTTTCAGTAACAATTCCCGCCTGGTGACACACCAGAGGACTCACTCCAGGGAAAAACCATATATGTGTCCAGATTGTGGGAAATGTTTCCTTTGGAACTCTCGGCTGGTGAGTCACCAGAGAACTCACACAGGAGACAAACCATACGAATGTCCAGATTGTGGGAAAGATTTCAGTACTAAGGATAGCCTTCTCAATCATATGCTTATACACACAGGGGAGAAACCATTTAAGTGCCCCGAGTGTGAACGGTGCTTCCGGAAACCTTCCAACCTTATCGCACACAAGAAAATCCACATGAGGCCCAAAGTGATGAGTGTAGAGAAGGCTTGAATTTCATTTGAAATATCCTATTGTAGTTTCAGCTGATAAATTGACTCTTTAATTTGATTACAAAGAATTTGCCTGATTTTTTGTCATTAAATATGTCATAGTATTAGATGGGAAGGAGGAAAGAAAAAAATTGGAACATGTTAATTTGATAAGGGCTATTTGGCCATCAGCAGCAGAAGTTGTTGGATTTTGATTTTTGCAGAAATTGGACAACTCTGCAAAAATCTTTTTAGCAGTGTTCTTGTGGTCTACCGGCAGCCTGCGGAAATGGCAGCAGAGTTGGGCAGTGGGGAGGAACATAGGCCAGACTGGGAATCTGGGGAGGACTCGGACGAAGGTCCTGCATCCGATACAGAGATGGGGCCAGGGCCATATGGGAGTTATGTGTTGCCTCCAGAATCTGATAGCAGCGAGACAGAGGAATAAGGAGAGCCTGTTCCCAGTGTGCGCGTGCACAAAGCTGCCAGAAGGCAAGAACAGTTAAGACAAAAGGGGTGACTCAGGATTAAGGTTTGGAGGTGATTGGCCCTCCCATAAGACATAAAGGAGGAGCAAAGGGACAGGAACCTTTGCAAGAAGCAACTTTGTTCGTACTGGTCGGTTTGAAACCTGAAACTCTGTGTTGAATTTGTGTTCCGTTTGGCCTTGTATAACTAATTGGAAATTTAGTTGTTGGCAGCATTTCAGGGAAGATAAAGGTGCGTGCTTATCAGACTTATCCTGAAGGACTTTGGAAGATTTCCATGGGACTATTTACAAACTGTTTGAGACTCATAACAGGCTGTGAATGACTAAAATTCACAGCCATTGAAATAAAGAAAAAAGGGTTTTGGGACTAAAAAGGGTGTTTTGTTAGTGTCTCAATAAGCCTTGGTCAGAACAGTTCTTTCAATTTTTATCAAAATAATTGATAGAAATACCACATGCAGAGTCCCCACCTTCTCCCTGGGTATCCTCACTATTTTCAGCCCCAGCCAGCATCTCTTCAGGATAAGAGCACTCAGGCTATAGTTAGAGATTGTGGCTCCTCATACAAGAAGAAAACAAGAGGAGAAGAGAAATTGTTTGTTTGTTTTTTGAAAATTTTATTGATTTTTAAAAACAAACATAAATGAACAAAACATAGAACATAAAAACATAAAACATCTTTTTGAAAGCAGCCTGATCCCGGGTTACATCTCTTCGTGCAGACACAAATTCAAATTCATGCTCATTTTTATATTCCATTCCATATCTTATTACCATTCAACATTTTCTCTATAACTTCTCCCCTCTTTCAACTTTCTTAATTTTATTTTATTTATTTCATCTCAATTCAAATCATCATACTTATATTCTTTGTCTGTCCTATTTCAGCTGTCTATTATCTTTTCTCATTTAGCAAAATTTCTCCTGTGATCACTGATTGGAGTATGACGCCTTTATATCTTTCCCCTAAAATTATAACACTTAATATAATACATAACTTCCGTTCGGATTCTCCTTGGTACATTCTAAAACTACACAATGTATTTTTTTTAAAAAAAGAAAAAATTATAAATATATGACATAATTAAAACAATCCATACCAATTCAATTCTATCATTGATATTAATATTCATTTAAATCTTGAACATTTTACACATTACTTTTCAAATAAGTATCATACTTCTATGGAAACACATATAAACTTTCCATAATTACTTCCCTCCCACTTCACTTATATTTTATAAAACATTGAGTAGTTAAAATGTTCCCATTCCTTCCTAATTCAATTCTCTCATTTATTTCATTTATTTTGTTCACAAAAGTTTCACTAAATTACACTATTTTATTCCACTTTTTAATCATATGTTGTTTCCAATTTTCTAACTTTATTTCTATTACAAATATAACAATACAATCTTATGTACCTTTACAGAATCCCTTTTTCAGTTAAATTTTCACCCATTATCTCTAAATAAATCCGGTTTCTTTACATCTTGCTCCAGACCTTTGTAACTTCTCTTCCCTTCCTTCTTGCCTTTCTTCTCTCTCCCCTTTTTACCCCCGTCTCTCCACCTCCATTTCCCTCTTCTGTATTCCTCTTTTCTGTTGCTTTCCAACATTATATCCCCTTTTCACATTATTTTTCCCTTTTTTGGCTGTTTTTTTAGGTCTTAAATTCTCCATTCTCTTTCCCCCCTTTCCCTTTTGTTCCCCAAATAGAATTACTTGTTCACTAAAAATGGCTTCTTCTTTGTCCCAATCTTCTTGTTGCGCAGTTTTGTTGTTTCTTGTAGACACCAATCGCCATTTCTAAGAATTGAAAAATGGAACCAAAGGAGCCCTTCCCTTCTTGTTCCTCTTCTTTATATTTTTTAAATTCGATTTTCAGTTCATTCAGTTCATCCAGAGGTGATGCCATTGTAGAGTTTTTGTTTTGTTTTTTAAAAACAACCACCCAATTGTTTTTAGTCATTCAAATATGATTTCCAAAAGTCCCAAAGTCACCAAACAATCCAAATACACACAAGCTGTTTCTTTTAACACTTTCTTCTTTTTTCACTTTCTCTTCTTGGGGTTACTGTTTAGTTGCAAAGTTCCAGTTAAAATGTATCCTTTAGAAGTCTTGTTAAGATTTAACTTTAAATTCTTTTAAATTCCAAGCAGTCTCCTCCGTCCAAGTCCTGCCCTTATTCTTTTCCTCTCCCTTCCCACTTATAGCAAAAAAAGGATTTTTTAGTGTTCAGAAATCTTTATTGTCCCTTTGGCATTTAATTATATTTCCAGTTTAATTACCTGTTGGTGCCAAAGCGGATTTTTCTGATTTCTTTATTCAGATCTTCTCGTCAGCGTGAGGAAGGAGAGTAAAGAAAAAAAA